CGATGGTGACCACAGTGATGGTGGTGTTGACAGCGTGCATGGTGTTGATAGCGAGCACAGTGAGCATGATGTTGACAGTGACCACAGTGTTGATAGTGAGTATGGTGATGGTGACCACAGTGATGGTGGTGTTGACAGCGAGCATGATGTTGACAGCAAGCACGGTGTTGACGGTGAGCATGGTGTTGATGGCGAGCATGATAGTGATGCTGATAGTAGAGTTGACAAAGGTAAGGTAGATGTATGATTAAGGTGTGTTACATGGAGCATACACATGCCTGCTCCATGACTACACATAAGAATTATTGCCACAAAAGCTCCAACCGCACACGTGTGCATGTGGCAGCACACACACACACACAGTACAACAAAACAAATTTGCCGATGAATCTGGTCTTTGGGAGATAACAGGGCACTTGGGCTGACAGATGCCCTGAAGTGCATCATCCGGCGGAAGCTGCGCGGCCAGCTTTAGTTATTTTCAGGGCATCTTTCAAACAGTCCCAGATGGAGATGCCTTGTCATTGGAGTTAGCTATATCAAATCGTCTCACGAAATCTGATATATCATAAACCGGAAATCTGTAAGGTTGACACCATAGGGTTTCTTGCTTCTTGCTCGAGGGTGATTATAACATCAGCGTGCAGTTCGATATCTTTTTAATTTCCACCAAGGAATACCGTCCGAGCCAATCGAAAATTATGCCACTCTGTATTGTGCTCGATTATGTTCCAACCGCGTGGTCACCTGGCTATGTTAGCCAGAAGTGAATGCACAGTCCCGAGGACCGAGTCTTTCAAGAGTTGCTATCTGAATCCTGTTCTTCCCCTTACTATGTATATAGGGATCTCTTCAGCGTAGCACGCCCCCATGCCCTTTGGGAGGCTCCGGAGGCGCAGGCAACGCCTGCGCGACCCCCGTGACATTAAACGAATACATACATATGTACCCGGCTATGTTATTCAAGGCAGAGTTGCTCTATATTCATCACTGGATGGGAGAATGGAACTTAAGCAGCGTTCCTTAGGATCACTTTGAACTGCTTCCCTACATTGATGATATAGGTCCAAACTGTTCCATATCCTTCAACCCTTGTTGTCGAATCTCCAGTATATGCTTGTTCTTCTGCCAATTCGAATGTAAGGAATGTCGATCGATTATTGCGCATATGCCGCTCAGCGCCAGTATCAAATATCCTGGAATCTCGAAGATAGGGGCGAAGGCTAGAAGGAGAATTTTCGAAACTCGTATTTAGCCGTTTTATCGATCGATCAACAGGCGCGATATCAGACGTGACAGAAGATTGATCAATAGGTTGATCAGTAGGTTCTCGCTTTCCTTTTAGAAGAACCATGCTACCTAGTGCTTGTTCTACCATCTCAGTGTTAGAAGCAGCAGCTCTGGTTAATACTGCATCTATCTTCTTCTTGATGTCATCATGCTTTAGTGCCTCATCAACCTTCTTACTAAGGTTCTCGTTTTTTCCCATCCTTCTGGCTTCTGACTTGGATTGAGATAGTAGCATAGGATCCAGGGATGGCTTGCTCCGCAAATGCAGGCTCTTGCTCGACTGCTTGAATAACCTTTGGTTTACCTTCCATATTTGAAAGGCACTTGGATGCCCAGGTGTGGGATACATAGTTCGCATCTGCTCCTGAGTCCACTAATGTCCACGCTATAGACCACCCAGCATCTGTTAACATCCAGGTGTTCATCGCTAATGAACATTTATCTTGCAGCCTGGTAGTTCGGATTCCCAATGCAGCAGCAGCTCCTACGATTGGGATTGCTGGTTTTTTGCTTGTCGAACCTGGTTACATATCTCTGGGCATAGCATCAAGCAACCATTCGCGACATGACCCTTCTTATGGCCCTTCTTATGACAATGTGAGCACGCCTTCATCCAGTTATATTTATCTTTCTTAGGTCGCTAATGAATTATTCCCCGACCCCGGAATTTCTCCACATCTTTTCTTGGAGGATGTCCACTCATGCCAGGATCTCGTTAATTCTAGCTGCCAAAGTGGTACCCGGCTACGCCTCCTGTTGATTGTATTTTTGGAGCTTTCTGCCGAGGTATCAGCCGCTCATGGCGCAGGTTCCGGTGGATCTTGAGTCGAATCAGTTTGCTCCTCTCATTTCCTTTTGTTCTGGCGGTTATCAGATTTACCAGGGCGACGTTAGTTGTCTATAAACCTCGCAAGCTTGCCCTTACGAATGGCTCGCCGTCGCCACGGCATATTCTCCTCGATCGACTGCCATCTTCGAAGGGATTCGTCATAATCTCCGGGTTTTTGGGTATAACGAAGGAGTTCATAGCGTATCACTGGTAAGCTTTACTTTGCAGGTTATCCATTCTTTGCTGCTCATTGTACAAGGGTAGGTAATATTCCCAATCTTCGAGATATTTGGAGAACTTGCGTATCGATTGCCATTCTTTTTGATAAGCATCTCGAGACCTTTGGCTTGCTAACCGGCGCTGGTTCTGCGGGTCACTTATCTGCACTTCTAGATGCGCGAGCATGTCATCAAAGCTTAATGGCATCGCTCCTAGTCTAGATTGTCCTGCTTGCCTACCATTCAAGGTAGTAAGATTGGACACAAGAAGTCCTGGCTTGGTATATCCCATTTTTGCGATATTTGGATCGGAAATCATTTACCACATCTGCGAAGGAGAAGTCCTCCTTACCCCCTATCTCAATTTCCCTTTTTCGAACGGTGACATATGGATTATCGATGGGTATATTGGCACAGAAGAAGTCCTTCCATATATCATAGTTGCCATCTATACCAGAGTGCTTGATCTCCTTTTCAGTGTCCAAGCATCTAGCCACCTGTTTAGGCACCTTTTGCAGGTTCTGATACTTCTGCCGCACTTCATATTGGCGGTCCGCGGTTCTAGGGGATAATCTCTTCTTAAGAGCAATCAGAAGGTCCCTGAAATCAATGAGATGATTTCCATCAGTTGATATCTCTAGCTCACTAGCAGATACCGTCCTGAAGATCTCCTTCTTGATCTTACTGACACCTTCAAGTTTATCTCGATAGATATTTCTATCATTGTTATACTTAACATTCTCCATATCTCATCTAATTTTTGCTTCCGTGGTGTGCTCGATGGGGAACTCTGGAGGAGAAGGTATAGGTATTTGGCTTGTTCGATCGGGACTTTCTTCACTGAGAAGATCCAGTACTTGTAGTTCTATGGCAAGACCTAGCATCATCTTGTACCACAAGCCTGGAGGAATCCATGAAGGTCGGTGCTTTTGATGACAGATTTTCTGTTGACATTTTGGTCGTTTGGATACAGATAAAAAATCGATATAGAATCAAACAAAGGACGATATAGATCGAACAGATATCGGTTATGCCACTATCGCTCACTGATAAGGAGGCTGATAAGGATCGGATAGATATAAATAAATGCAGCAATCGTCTCCGATGAGGAGGTCGGTGAGATCGGATAGATAGATAAGGACGTAATCAGATAGATATATTATGGATATCAGTATAGCGATTGGTCGCAAACCCGGGCTCATAACTGTCGGAACGATGGAATGTCCGAATATTAACCCCATCCGTTTGGACAGTCTTCGGGAAAGTAATCCTCCCAGAGTTCGAAAACTACGAACCAACTGAGAGAGGAAGTAGTCTCCATGTTCTCATCTCGAACCAAACTCCCAAGCTCGGCCTTCAGAATCACAACCAAGTCGCCCAACAAGACAATCCTTGTCCAATCAATCCCCCTGCTGATCAGCGTCAGCCACCTCCCGGATGATTCCGCCACCAAATTCGTCCCCACAATGCGTCTCCGCAACCTCAAACTAGCCATTGAATGCGCACAGCGTTTTGCGCCTTCGCATCCTTTGGCTGCAAAAACAACGACGGAAAGATCAATAAGCTCACTCTTATCGACCGCTCTCATCTTGATATTCCCCTAGAACCCCTCGCAGGCAATATGGGTAAGCTTCTAGACATCTTCTGTCTCCCTTCGCTCACGCACAGTTTCACGAGCAATCTCGTTCGGTGCAGATACAGCTTTCAGCTGAAGATCGTAGTGAGTGCCTGGCTGCACGAAGACTATCTGGGCGAGTCGAGCGTTGTTGAGGTTTTGTCGTCGTCTTATTTGCAGCTGCCCCTTAGGGCCGCCACCACTACTGCTGCCATCAGAGGAGGCGGCGGCGGTAGCAGCGGCAGAGGAAGATGGGATGCAGTTGCTTCTCAACCTTGAACGTGGGGCTAAAAGGTTCGTCGTGGTGCGATCCGGGGCCGGAAAAACAGTTCGGTGTGGTCCTAATCTGGCATGGTATAAAAGCTGTAAGACCTGGTTGGTTATTATTATCCATCTAGTGGCTAGCGGCAGCCAATATAATGGATTTATGTGTGGGCCACGTGGGATAGGGTAATAGGGCTGTTTGACGAATGTCACCCCTGCATGCACTAGTGTATATTCTGTGGGATGGTTAATCTTCTCATTGTGTGATCGCTAGCTAACTACAGATATATATATAGGGGAAATCACGTGCGGTGGAGGGCCGCCTGGGCAACTAAGTGCCCAACATATTCCACGATTCCTCTCAATGATGTTGATTTTTCGTATTTTGCAATGCCCTACCTAACCCCTAACACCTAGAGGAAATAAGCATGCTCTCCCATTGACATCGGGGTAGCT